TGCGGAAGCCTTCGGAGTGAATCTGTCCAGGTTGGAGCAGCATCCCGTCCCTCCTGGGAAACACGATCAGACGGTGACCACGCTCTCGAATCAAGCTCATCAATGTGCGTTTCAGGCAGCCGCAGCTAACAACAACATGACGCTGTTAGCGTACAGCATGTCCAAGAGGCTGGAGGCCGCAGATCTACCTGAGGAGTCCAAGAGCTCCCTCTGCAAGGCAGCTGATGCCATCCTCAATATGTGCGCCTCTTCTGCAGTCTGCTTATCCAGAATTGTAGCGTGGATGACGATGATTCAGCAATCCACCTGGCTCCGTCATTCCCCCTCTCTGTCGGAGAAGCTGCACAGAGACCTGATGGAGGGCCTCATCACGGCGGACACGCTGTTCGGGAGCAGTTTAAAGGCCACGTTGAAGAACTCCAAAAAGTCGGAGGAGGTGTCGGAGACCGTGCGCCACCTCATCAAGCCGCACGGCTCATCCCGCCCCCTGGCCCTCTAGAAGGATCATCATGAGCAGAGGCAGAAGCAACGACGTTCCACGGCCGCGGCGGCGTCATCTCGCTCAGCTCCACCACCAGCCCCGCCTGTCAGAGACCAGCCCTCTTCATCCCGGCAACCAGCAGTTCAATGTTTCCCCAGAGACCGCCAGCAGGCGGCGCCTTGGGCCAACAAATCGCAGAGCTCACTGGGGAAAAGGTTAAAAAAAATGACTGTCTGCAGAGGGTGTGTGTAAAAGTGACACAAATGTTGAAATAAAACATCATTCAATGATTAAAGTGTCTGTTTTTAGCCAGTCTGTAAGCTTGTCAGCGATTGCCCGCTCATGTCAGCATAGATGCGAGATCGCAAAGCAAGCCCAGCGCAGGACCCCGCTCGCGGCTGAAGCGACACACGCTTCACCGCAATGGCATCAAAGGCGCATCCCTGCGGCGTCATGAGTTGTCACACGCTTCTCCTCAACACACACCGGTCCACCTAGACATGAAGGCAGACCCGCGGTTCGAACGCAGCACACAGGTGCATTCAGAGCCCTTTCGAGAAAGCCACGCCTTGGGTCACGCGGAACACATTCCCGCGACACATGACGGCGGTCAAGGCGGTGGACTGGATGACATCCGTACAAAACATGACGCATCACTTAAACGCGCGTCCGCTCCATGAACGTTGCGCGGAGTGGCTAAAAACATGCTCGCCAGACAGATGGATGACCAAGTTTTTAAGCAGGGGTTACACGCTGCAATTTGCAACCCGACCACTTCCGTTCGGACAAATTTTAGAGACGGTCCTGTCGTCACCAGACCAAATCTCATTCCTAAATGCAGAAGTCCAAGAACTTCTGGTAAAAGAGGTAATCTCCACAGTTCCCAACGGAGAAGAAAACACGGGGTTTTACTTACATTACTTCTTGGTTCCCAAACGGACCAGAGGAACGAGACCGATTTTGGATCTGTCAGTTTTCAACAAGGTGGTCATGGACAGACCGTTTCACATGTTGACAACCAGACAGCTGTTGGACAACATCCAGAGAAACGACTGGTTTGTTTCCATCGACCTGAAAGACGCTTATTTTCACATACCTATCATCCCAAAACGCAGAAAAATTTTGCGCTTCGCCTTTCAAGGGATGAGGTATCAGTACAACAGGCTGCCGTTCGAGTATTCCCTTGTGCCTCGTACGTTCTCAAAATGTGTGGAGACGGCCCTGCAACTATTACACAGAGCAGGGATGAGAGTTTTGTTTTACCTGGACGACCTGCTGCTGCTGTCACACTCCAGACAGGAAGCGGCAATGCAGGCTCAGATGTTGACACCACACCTGTTAAATCTGGGCTTCGCCATAAATTGGAAGAAAAGCTCGATTCTCCCGGCCCAGACGATTGTTTATCTGGGAGTGGAGGTAAACTTGACTACTATGCGGACTCGTTTATCACAAACGAGAATCGACACTCTAAAAGACCAGTTCCGCAACATGAGACCTGGCAGACTGGTAACAGCTGTTTCCGTCATGAAGCTGTTAGGAACGATGTCATCAGCTCACACAGTGGTCCCGCTGGGTTTATTACACATGAGACGCCTCCAGAGGTGGTTTGCACATCTGCGTGTGGATCCAGTAAAACAAAAGAGACGGATGATCACTGTTCCTCCCTCCGTGAGGGCAGACCTACGACACTGGGGAAACACCCTGGTTCTGTCGGAGGGAGCCCCCGTCAGCAGACCCACGTCACACGTGTCAGTCTTAACAGACACGTCGCTGTCAGGTTGGGGGGGGGGGGGGGATGCCTATCTCGACTATCTCAAGCTGTAGGAACATTGTGGCCCCATCACACATCAGCCCACATAAATGTTTTGGAGTGTCGCACGGTTCTGAACGTGATTCAACACTTTGCTCCTGTTCTGTAGAATCAACACATTTTGATTCACACAGACAACAAGGTTACTGCTGCTTACATAAACCGGCAGGGGGGGGGTGGGGGGTGCTCAGCCCAGATGTTACACATTGCGCAAAAACTACTGTATTGGGCACACCAGAATCTGCTCTCTATCAGAGCAGTGTACATACCCGGTGTTCTGAACAAAGGGGCAGATGTGATGTCCAGGGGCGGTCTACGTCACGGGGACTGGACTCTCCATCCAGATCTGATGGCTCAGACATGGCAGAAATTTGGCAAAGCAGCTGTGGACCAGTTTGCGACACGAGAAAATGCTCAGTGTCAACTATGGTTTTCTCTGAGCCCGCGAGACGAACCACCGCTGGGGGTGGACGCGTTTGCTCACAACCCATGACCCAAAATGCTTCTTTACGCATTTCCCCCACCCCCTCTGATTTTAAGGTTCTTGAACCCAGTTCAGGAGGAGGGATTGACAACTCTCCTGGTGGCCCCCGAGCATGTGAACGCACCATGGTTCCCAGTCCTACAACGCCTTCTATCGGGGCACCCGTGGAAACTGCCGTGGAGGGAGGACGCTCTCCTCTAGGCGGGAGGAGCGATCAGGAGTTACCCAGAAATAGGCCAGCACCTGTGGGTCTGGCCGCTGAACGGATCCGCTTGGAGAGGATGGGCCTCCCGCAAGATGTAATGCGCACAATCCATTATTCACGTGCTACATCTACCACAGCGCTGTACATGTCAAAGTGGACAGCTTTTCAGCGCTGGTGTACAGATAAAGGTGTAGAGGCCACCTCATGTCCACTAGGCGACGTGCTGTCCTTTCTGCAGCAGCTGATGGCCAGAAATTTGGCGTTCAGCACAATTAAAACGTATGCTGCAGCCATCTCTTCCTGTCATGAAGGGTTTGGAGACAGAACAGCTTTTAATTATCTGCTGATGAAACGTTTTTTAAAAGGTGTACAAAGACGCAGGCCTGTTTCACACCCGCTTGTTCCACAGTGGGATTTAATGCTGGTCCTGCGGGCCCTGATCAAATCTCCATTTGATCCACTAAATCAGGTTCCGATTAAATTCTTGTCTCTTAAAACAGCCCTGCTGCTGGCTTTGACATCCGCTAAGAGAGTGAGTGATTTATCTGCCCTCTCTGTCGCTCCGTCATGTCTCAGAATTCAGGCTGACGGCAGCTCAGCTGATCTAAGACCAAACCCAGCTTTTATGCCTAAAAACATCATGAGCTCTTTTAAATCAAGAGCGATATCGTTGGAGGGGGTTTTCCCTCCCCCCCCACAAATCCGAAGAAGCATCTTTCCATCTTTTCTGTCCGGTGCGGGCGTTGACGTGTTACATAGCACGCACAGCTGCAATGTGTCAAACTCAACATTTGTTTGTGCATTATAGAGCTGCATCTGCAGGTCGCCTGTTATCCATCCAGCGCTTGTCACACTGGCTGTGTGAGGCCATTTCTGAGGCCTACAGAGCATCAGATTTAAAGCCTCCTGTCAACTACTGTCCTGTCAAGCACACTCGACCAGGGGTATTGCATATTCGACTGCTTTGCATAATGGTATGACAATGCAGGACATCTGCACTGCGGCCGCGTGGTCAACACCCTGCTCATTTATTCGTTTCTATTTACGTGATGTGACAGTTCGCTCCATGACACATTCTGTCCTTTATGCTCTAACAGAATGAATATTATTGTTTTCATGGAACCCTGTTTAAGCTCACATCTGACTGCATGTTTTACAGTGTGAGATGTTATCAGTCGCAAGTTATGGCTGTTATTTGGTTCTATTGTCACTAATCAGTTCATGACTATTGTTACCAATCAGTTCATTTGATTATAATCAGTTCACTTGTTATTATTAATCTGCTCATGCTGTTCAGCCATGAGTCAGTTGGTTCATGGTCCCCCTTTTTCAACATCTTCCCTTCCCGTTGAAAGTTTTCCGGGGCGTTCATGCATTTCAGAACGCATAGTTACACAGCATGCGTCTGTGCACGGTACACATAATTACACAATGCGTAATTACGTACATGGGGAGCTGATTGACGAGACGTTTTTGGGCAAGCTTCCGCTTCATACGGTGCTCGAATGGACCCAGTGAGGCGAGGACAACATCCGCTTCGCCCTTAACCCATCAGCGACAGCCTTAAAGGGCGAAGCCTATATGAAATAGAACGTTGGTTATGTACTGTAACCCCAGGTTCTGTGAATATAGGCGTAGCCCTTTAAGCGTCGGGCCTCACTGGCTCCTAAATGGCTGAAGAAAAAAGCTATTTGGAAGCCGATTACCCGCTCTTAACGTAACCTATACGGACCGGGTGGGGCCCACACAGCAGGTGGGCGTGAACTAAACTTTTCAGTGTGATGATTCGCATAAAGGGATAAAACCCATCAACGACAGCCTTAAAGGGCTACGCCTATATTCATAGAATCTGGGGTTACAGTACATAACCAACGTTTTCTCTGCTATGAACTCACTGTAAGGCCTGCAGTCAGGTCCGAGCTGATCGTCACAAAATGCCCCTATGTATTTTCATTTTATTTTTAAACAGCCTAGTCTATATTGAAAATAAAAATAACTGCTGTTAAATTTTCTTTTGCAGGTTTATGCGAGGAGCATAAAGTCCAAACACCAGCCTTTACTGATGCAGTCCGACTCTACCGACAAGCTCATGGGCACTACGGCACCTGGGAGATGATGTGTGGCGTTCCATCCCAGGTGCTACTACACACAAACTGGGTTCTGGTGTTCAAAACTGCTGACATACTTTGTGGCATTTATAAAGCTGTTTGAACACGTTAGAATCGTTCAAAATTATTTCTTTGTTTCATTAAAACAAACAAAAGGTAGTAATTTTATTTTAAAATGTCTGTTTTACTGTCTGATATAGAAATATGGTGAAATGTACACTACCGTAATTTCCGGACTATTAAGCGCACCTAAGCCACGCCCACTAAATTAAAAAACTAATAATTTTGTACATATATAGGCTGTGCTTTTCTGTAAGCCGCTGGTGTTCACATTTTAACATGAAATATTTACACTGAAATATTGTTTAAACGTTTAATTAAATGCATACCACTAACATACACAAGTATATACAGTAAATGGTTTTTCTGAGCAGGGCTGGTAACATGGCTTGTTAAAACAAAAAATAAAAACAGTAGCCTTCCAGGAAGTCATTGATCGCTATCTTCACCTTCCTCCTCCTCCGCTGTCAGGATCCACCGGCAGACTTGAGCAAAGGTTACTCTGCACATGCAAGGGACCCCAAACCCCCCTCGCTCTCCTCCCAGTTTCATTGGTCCACTGTGACCTGTTAGGTATTTTCATTGGTCAGATTTTTTTAAAGTTTTTTTGGTAGTCTCATGGAGTCATGAGGACCCACCCCCCCAAGAGAGACCTGTATTGAGAAGCTATGTGAGCACCTGGGTGTGATGAGGCTAAATGTTTTAGCGACAGGAAGCTTGTTAGCCTGTCAAAAAAATAATCTATAAATTAGCCGCAGCATTGTATAAACTGTGGGGTTCTAAGTGTGTGAAAAAAGTAGCAGCTTATAGTCCGGAAATTACGATGTTTAGTCTTGTTGGAACGAGTAAAGCTTGTTATGTTTATTTGTAAACCCTGAGATGAATGCTGGTGGTTTAATGCTAGTCAGAGTGCTAGCTTCTGTACTGCTCAAGAGTAAAGATGCGATTGGCGCATAGTTAATAACTAAACAGGTAACGGTAACGGCCACCCTCCAACACGTTTATTACTCCGACTGATCACGTGAGGTTGGTTTGTAAAACATTGCCAGTACCTTTTGGAGTCAACCTATATCAAGATGGCTGCCACAACCAACTGATCTTGGTAGAAAGAAATTACTCTTTTACATTAAACTGAAATAATGTGCGTGGTATTAACTGAAAATCGTCTGCATGATCAATTTAAAGCGCTGCACATTTTATATCTTTGCCTTTAACTTTAAGAGTTAGTGTCAATCCTTTTTGTCTGTTAGCAAAATATCTCATGAACCACTGCATAAATTTTAATGAAACTCCTAAAAAGTAACAACTTGTTACCTTTTAATTGACCTTAGCCCACACAAAGATGGCTAAAAATCAGTCTGCTTTACAGGTTGTGAGCTGAAATTTGATGTGGTAGTAGCTGAGAGTCCTTCACAACACGTGTACACTAAGAGCTCCTAAACTTCAAACGACTCCAGAAGTTTGTTTTGTGCAGCTTTGTAAAACAGCTGTGGGTCCACGTCTTCTGATGGTTTCAGTTTAACACAGTGGTGTCGAGCAACATCCCTTTCTGTTTGTGTGCTTTTTATGGATGTAGCCGAGAACCGTGAATTTAAACTACTGTACAAACTACTAAACTATAAATCTGAAGAAAAAGACGGCGGTGTTGGATCAGATGTGTGTTTGTGGTGACGTGAATCTTTTTCTCCTTCTAGATTTTGTCTAACCTGGTGATGGAGGGCCTCCTTCCTGAGCTGAGAGGGCTCATCTCCCCCCACCTCAAAGGCAAACTGCACGAGAGGCAGAGGACCTGGATGCTGGTGAGCAGCCACTTCACCACCATCACGTTGTTTACAGATGAGGCATGTGTGTGAGAGGAGCTTTTCCAGCTCAGACCAAGCCCCTTGAGCGTTCCTCGTGTTTTGTGTGTGCAGATCAGCGATGCGGTGTATAGCATGGTGCAGGAGCAGTGCCAGGCTCAGAATGAGGCCGTGGTGCATAAGTGTGAGACGACCCGCTCCTCTCTGGAAGCATCCATCCGAACAGACATGGACCAGATCATCTCGTCCAAGGAGTACGTCTCCAACAAGATCAAAGGTTAGAAACAAAACTGCCTTTTCTTTCCTAAATTACACGCACACAGAATTATACTAATTTTTTCCTGTTGCTGCCTTAAAACTGAATTTAAAAAACTTTCAGCTGTGCAATACAGAGAATGAGAATGAAACTTGTTTCCAGTACCTGTTTGGACTAAAGATGTTATGTAAGCAGTCTTAACATAGACAATTAATGGATCATTCCCAACATCAAGCTGTTCTGTATCACAAGATTTTAATAATAATAATATAATAATACATTTTATTTGCTTTTCTAAATATTCAAGACGCTTTACAGGAGTTTAAAAAAAATATAAACTCAACATAAACTCAACAATGTATCACAACCCTTAAAAACACATAAAAAGGGCAAATTTAAACATTAAAAGCAAGTTTAAACAGGTGGGTTTTGAGTTCTTTTTTCAAAGTGGAGAGATTGGAGCAGGCACAAAGCTGTTGGGGCAGTGAGGTCCAGAGGGTGGGGGCAGCGATGGAGAAGTATCTGTCTCCCCAGGTTCAGAGCTAGGTCCTACAGGAGAGAGACAGAAGGTTGGTATCAGAGGAGCAGAGGGAACGAGAACGTGTGGTGATGGAGTTGGTAGATCAGGTATGGAGGGGACAGATTATGGAGGGGTCAGATTATGGAGGGGCCAGATTATGGAGGGGTCAGATTATAGAGGGCTTTGAATGTGATGAGGAGGATCTTGGAATGGATGCGCTGAGTGACAGGGAGCCATTGGAGGTTCTACAGGACAGGAGTGATATGTTAACTGGAACAGGTGGGGGTGAGAAGGTGGGCAGCAGAGTTTTGAATATATGGTAGTTCCTCATTTATGGCGGGGGTTTGGAACCACGCCCCCCTCGCTTGCGCGGAATAGGTGAAAAAGCGTGAAGTAGGGATGCAGTAGTCCAAGTTCAAGAAAATCATTGTCATTACATCTCATGTAGTTCATGAGATGGAGTTAAATTTTGTACACAAACAGTAATAGTAGTAGTAAGTAATAGTAGTAGTAGTAGTAGTATTACGTAGTAGTAGTAATAGTAGTAGTAGTAGTAAGTAGGTAATAGTAGTAGTAGTAGTAAGTAGTAGTAGTAGTAGTAAGTAGTAGTACTAATAGTAAATAGTAGTACTAATAGTAAGTAGTAGTATTAGTAGTAGTAGTAATAGTAAATAATACAAATAGTAAGTAGTAGTATTAGTAGTAGTACATAATTAGTAGTAGTAGTACATAGTAGTAGTAATAGTAGTAGTAAGTAGTAGTAATAGTAAGTAGTAGTAGTAGTAATAGTAAGTAGTAATAGTAAGTAGTAATAGTAAGTAGTAATAGTAAGTAGTAATAGTAGTAGCAGTAGTAGTAATAGTTAGTAGTAATAGTAGCAGTAGTAGTAATAGTTAGTAGTAATAGTAGTAGTAGTAGTAATAGTAAGTAGTAATAGTAGTAGTAATAGTAAATAGTAGTAGTAGTAGTAGTAATAGTAAATAGTAGTAGTAGTAGTAGTAGTAGTAAAAAGTAGTAGTAGTAGTAGTAAAAAGTAGTAGTAGTA